GTGGCGGGGCGGCGGCGGGGTGACGGCGGACGGCGGGAGGTCGCGAGCGGGCGGGCGGGAAAGGAAATGAAGCGGCGGTTGGGCATTCGCGGGCGGCGGCTGGTTTTGGACCAGATGCATCTCGTGATGTATATTTGCACCACGAGGTGTTGCATTTTACATCATGAGGAGGCCGTGGTCCAATTTTTTTTTACATATGGACCGTCTGTTGGAGCTGCATTTTTTGCCTCAGACGGTCCAAAAGTTAGTTACTTTTACATTTGGACCATCTATTGGAGATGCTCTTATAGCCATTGGATGTGATGCTATAAGATGCGTGTGTGCTGACGTGGGTTGTATCTGTTCTTGTTTTCAAAGTGAATGAGACCAAATTATATCTCATCTAGATGAATTCTATGTACTCCCATTTTTTTGCCCCGACTTACTTTGGACCGGATGATTTTTCACTCATTTATTTGTAATTTTCTTTTTTCCGCAACTTACATTGGAAGTTTGAGAATTCACCCTTTTCACTCAAACACAATACTTTCAATTGGTTTTTGTAATATACACACAAAGCAAATGACTATAATACCCCTTTGTGCTCCTTCAACCCAAAATGAGCGAAATGAAAAAGTTCCCCTAATGACCAAGTTGTGGACGATGAACCCTAGTAGCTTTTTCGGCTGAGCTGGCTAGGGATTTCTGGCCGGGCCTGCTGCCCTGTGGTGCCCTCGCTTTCCACTGGTGCTTTCCCACCACTGTGTGTTGCACTCAACCGACAACGCCACCTCGTAGTGTTGTTGCAACTATCTAATTACCTTTGATCCAGTTTGGATTGCAGTAAAGCCTTCTCCCCGGGATTCCTGCTATGCGATGGCTCTCCTCTCTCTCCCTCCCGCTCCTCTCTCCCCCCTCCCCTGTCCCTTCGCCGCCGTCCCTTGCTCCTCCGCTGGCGTCCCGGGCCCTGGTCTGTCCCCCTCCCCCAAGGCTGGTTCCTCTCCCTCGGTCCGCTCGCCGGTGCCGCGGGCTCTGTTCCCCCCGGCATCGTTTGGCTCTCGCTTTTGGACCCTCGACTACGATGAGGATTGCTCGTCGGACGAGGCAGCCTTGTGCTCGCCCTCGCCGGTCCTTCCTGTGCGGGCCTCCTCTCCCTCCATTGCGCCCCGCTCTCGCAAGTTTGCGCCTGGGGGCCGGAGCCGGCCGGTGCCGTCCCCGTCGTCTGGCGCTGGCTGGGTTCGGGTCTCTCGCCGTCGTCGCAAGTCTGGTAAGTTTTCCCTTGCCTCGCCCCGATCTGGTATCCTAGGTGCCGCTCCGGGCGTGGTTTGCCCTTCCTCCCCTCCCTCTGCCTCTGGTTCGTTGTCTCCGGCGGCGGCGGCGTCTGGATGCGTCGTGGAGACGGCGGCGCCTGTCCTAGATCTGGTCTCCCACCCACTGACTAGTGGGTCACGTGGTGGGCTGGCCGCTGGGCCTGTTGGGCCTCCTGGTCCTAATCTGGCTATCCAGCCCACTCGTCCTGTTTTGTTGTTAGTTGATGATTCACCCTTCCTCTTGTGGGCTCGGTGCGGCTCCCGCTTGCCTGTATCCTTCCCCCCTCCCCAGCCCAGGTGGCCCGCCAGGCCCAAGTGGGTTTGGCTCGGTTTGGCTATTTATGGGCCCCTCGCGGTTCCGCTCCCCCCTTGCTAGGGTTTCCGGCTTCCGCCGCTGACTTGCGTAGACACAGTGCCCCCATTTGCCGTCTAGTCAAATCCAATCCTCCCCCTCCCCTCCTCCTCTCCTTCGCGGCGACTCTCTCTATGGACAAGTCCAGGGGCTTGATGCGTCTCCAACGTATCTACTTTTCCAAACACTTTTGCCCTTGTTTTGGACTCTAACTTGCATGGTTTGAATGAAACTAACCAGACTGATGCTGTTTTCAGTAGAACTGCCATGATGTTATTTTATGTGTAGAAAGCAAAAGTTCTCGGAATGTCCTGAAAATCCTCGGAGGCAAGTTTCGTAAAAAATATCGGCGAAAGAATCAAGACCAGGGGGCCCACACCCTGTCCACCCCCTCGGCGCGCCCTCCTGTCTCGTGGGCCTCCTGAGGCTCCGCCGACCTCAACTCCAACTTCATATATTCCGTATCACGTAGAAAAAAATCAAAGAGGAAGTTTCATTGCATTTTACGATACGGAGCCGCCGCCAAGCCCTAATCTCTCTCGGGAGGGCTTATCTGGAGTCCGTTCGGGGCTCCGAAGAGGGGGATTCGTCGCTGTCGTCATCATCAACCATCCTCCATCACCAATTTCATGATGCTCACCGCCGTGCGTGAGTAATTCCATCGTAGGCTTGCTGGACGGTGATGGGTTGGATGAGATTTACCATGTAATCAAGTTAGTTTTGTTAGGGTTTGATCCCTAGTATCCACTATGTTCTGAGATTGATGTTGCTATGACTTTGCTATGCTTAATGCTTGTCACTAGGGCCCGAGTGCCATGATTTCAGCTCTGAACCTATTATGTTTTCATGAATATATGTGTGTTCTTGATCCTATCTTGCAAGTCTATAGTCACCTATTATGTGTTATGATCCGACAACCCCGAAGTGACAATAATCGGGATACTTCTCGGTGATGACCGTAGTTTGAGGAGTTCATGTATTCACTATGTGCTAATGCTTTGTTCCGGTTCTCTATTAAAAGGGGGCCTTAATATCCCTTAGTTTCCACTAGGACCCCGCTGCCACAGGAGGGTAGGACAAAAGATGTCATGCAAGTTCTTTTCCATAAGCACGTATGACTATATTCGGAATACATGCCTACATTACATTGATGAATTGGAGCTAGTTCTGTGTCACCCTATGTTATAGCTATTGCACGAGGAATCACATCCGACATAATTATCCATCACTGATCCAATGCCTACGAGCTTTTCACATATTGTGCTTCACTTATTTACTTTTCCGTTGCTACTGTTACAGTTACTAGAAAACTATTATCTTTACTTTTGCCACTGCTACCTTTACTATCATACTACTTTGCTACTAAATACTTTTCTGCAGATACTAAGTTATCTAGGTGTGGTTGAATTGACAACTCAACTGCTAATACTCATAATATTCTTTGGCTCCCCTTGTGTCGAATCAATAAATTTGGGTTGAATACTTTACCCTCGAAAGCTGTTGCGATCCCCTACACTTGGGGTTATCAAGACTAATTTCTGGCGCCGTTGCCAGGGAGCATAGCTCTATTCTTTGAGTCACTTGGGATTTATATCTGCTGATCATTATGAGGAACTTGAAAGACGAAAGAACTAAGATTTTGCCCTCAACTACGAGGGGAGGTAAGGAACTGCCATCTAGCTCTGCACTAGATTCTCCTTCTGTTATTAGTAAGCTTGCGACACCTAAACCTACTACTACTATGAATTCTGATATGTCCCATTGTTATTGATGATGCCACTTCTGCTATGCATGATACTTATGATGAAACTACTTCTGTGTGTGATACTACTGTGCCATTAGGTGAATTTCTTGATGAACAACTTGCTAGGGTTAGAGAGAATGAAATTATTGAAGATGCTATTATTGATGATAGTGATGATGAAAGTTCTCCCCCTGATTATGAATTACCTGTTGTTCCTAAGGGTTATGTTATGAATGAGGAAGCTGCTAAAGCTATCTTTGCTTGTAAAGATAGATATGATCTTAAAAAATTATTAGCTAAATGGAAGCAGCAATCTCTTAATGCTAGAATGAAACCTGACCCTTCTTTTGCTACTTCACCTATCTGTGTTACTGATAAGGATTATGAATTCTCTGTTGATCCTGAGATTATTACTTTGGTTGAATCTGATCCTTTTTATGGCCTTGAATCTGAAACTGTTGTGGCACATCTTACCAAGTTGAATGATATAGCCACCCTGTTTACTAATGATGATAAATCTCGCTATTACTATATCCTTAAGATATTTCCGTTCTCATTAAAGGGTGATGCTAAGACTTGGTTTAATTCTCTTGCTCCTGGTTGTGTGCGTAGTCCCCAGGATATGATTTATTACTTCTCTGCTAAATATTTCCCTGCTCATAAGAAACAAGCTGCCTTGCGGGAAATATATAATTTTGTGCAAATCGAAGAAGAGAGTCTCCCACAAGCTTGTGGGAGGCTTCCCCGATTACTTAATGCTTTGCCTGATCATCCTCTTAAGAAAAATGAAATACTTGGTATCTTTTATAATGGACTAACCGATGCTTCCAAGGACTACTTGGATAGTTGTGCTGGTTGTGTTTTCAGAGAAAGAACAGTCGACGAAGCTGAATTACTATTGAATAATATGTTGACTAATGAAAATAATTGGACTCTTCCTGAGCCAATTCCTGAGGCAATCCCTGAACCAATTGAGCCAACTCCTGAGCTTATTCCTAAACCCACCCCGAAGAAGAGAGGTGTTCTATTTCTCAGTCCTAAAGATATGCAAGAGGCAAAGAAATCAATGAAAGAAAAAGGTATAAAAGCTGAAGATGTTAAGAATTTACCACCTATTGAAGAAATAC